TCAAGACGTTGGAAGATAGTGTGGACACTGTACTGTGTGTGCTTCAAAGAGGAAAATCTGACCGCATCAGTGAAAACTCTGATGGGGAGTTTTAAGTTCTTTCTTATAGAGAATCAGCTGTTCCTCTACCCAAGAAATGTGTTTGTTCTAACTATGTTAACATCAAGGCGTTGGAAGATAGTGTGGACACTGTACTGTGTGTGCTGCAAAGAGGAAAATCTGACCGCATCAGTGAAAACTCTGATGGGGAGTTTTAAGTTCTTTCTTATAGAGAATCATCATAGACACAGCTGTTCCTCTACCCAAGAAATGTGTTTGCCCTATGCTTTTCACTATGGATTACTTCACCAAGTGGCCCAAAGCTCGTGTATTGGTCGATACTTTAGCACAATCCATCACTGATTTATTGGTTGAACAATGGATAACATGATTCAGAGCACATGGGGAGATCTACTTGGGTCAAGGAGCCAATTTTAAACCTATTTGTTTGAAGAAATGCGTGTAATATGGGTTATAGGGAAAATGTACTATTCATCACCTCATCCTCAGTCATGCTCTAGCTGAACAGGTGATATAGAGTGACAACGGGTGCTTACTAGGCTTACAAACCCTGGATAATGGTTGAACAGGTGGTATATAGTGACAACGGGTGCTTGCTAGGTTTACAAATCCTGGATAATGGTTGAACAGGTGGTATATAGTGACAACGGGTGCTTGCTAGGCTTACAAACCCTGGATAATGGTTGAACAGGTGGTATATAGTGACAAACGGGTGCTTGCTAGGCTTACAAACCCTGGATACGGTTAAAAGGTGGTTCAGGATGACAAACGGGTACTTGCTAGGCTTACAAACCCTGGATGATGGTTGAAAGGTGGTTCAGGATGACAAACGGGTGCTTGCTAGGCTTACAAACCCTGGATAATGGTTGAACAGGTGATATATAGTGACAAACGGGTGCTTGCTAGGCTTACAAACCCTGGATGATGGTTGAAAGGTGGTTCAGGCTGACAAACGGGTGCTTGCTAGGCTTACAAACCCTGGATGACGGTTAAAAGGTGGTTCAGGCTGATAAACGGGTGCTTGCTAGGCTTACAAACCCTGGATGATGGTTGAAAGGTGGTTCAGGCTGACAAACGGGTGCTTGCTATGTTTATAAACCCTGGATGATGGTTGAACAGGCGGTAGAGGTTGCCAAGTAATTAATTTGACTGCCACGAGCACTCGTCCTTTGTCATGATGGCGTACTGCACAACTAATCAATAGTCTGATTGTGTACTGCACAAGTAAACTATAGTTGACTGGTTCTTCTCTAAACCTATTGATGTACAGTTTCCAGTAATTAAGACGTATAGTCCGGTACACAGTAAAGATATAGCACGGTGATGTGATTGCGTTCTACAGTAGTTGATGTACATTAATACAGATGAGTAATGTAGTCTCACATCAAACTACATGTCACGACAAAACAGTAACGCAATGAAACCTCACTTGATATAGCTTCTGTTGCACGTAAACAACTCGGTTCTGGTTGAATTATCCGCATCTCGTACGTTAACACGTGAACATTCTGTTTATTCTTATTTGTAACCCCCCCCCCCCCCGTGGCACAGCGGTATGTCTGCGGACTTACAACGCTAGAATCCGGGTTTCGATACTCGTGGTGGGCAGAGCACAAATAGCCCATTGTGTTGCTTTGTGCTTAACTACAAACAAACAAACGAAACTTATTTGTAGATTCTTGTGATTTAACTGAAAACCATAGAAGTAACCAAAACGTGATTAATATAATGAACGTTTAAGAGGGTAGACTACTACTCCTTTCTTATCTAAATTGATAATTTTTACTGTGTATTGTTAGAACAATATACCTTTATATGTTTGTACTTTAATACATTGAATAATGTCAAGCACGACGGAGATCATGAAAACAGGTTACGCGGTTTATCAGATACGTACAGCTTATATGAAGACAGAATTGAAAGATATATTTCAATTATTAAAGTATGTTTAGAAACAACCTAAAATTATTTGAAAACACATTTAATCTAGTCGTGCGTGATGCCTGTAAAAATATAAAAATCTTTATTTTTATTTGCACTGTATTGAAAATATTTATATACACAAAATAGAACTTCCATATTGTATCCGTTTGTTTTATTATTTTCCCAATAAATTATTTATCATTCACATCAGGGTTATATGGTTTTACTCAATCTATTTGCTACAGACGTGGCCCGGCAGGTGGTTAAGGCACTCGACTCGCAATCTGAGGGTCGCGGGTTCGAATCCCCTTCACACCAAACGTGCTCGCCCTTTCAGCCGTGGGGGCGTTATAATGTGACGGTCAATCCCACTATTCGTTGGTAAAAGAGTAGCCCAAGAGTTTGGCGATGGGTGGTGATGACTAGCTGCCTTCCCTCTAGTCTTACACTGCTAAATTAGGGACGGCTAGCGCAGATAGCGCTCGTGTAGCTTTGCGGGAAATTAAAAAACAAACAAACAAACAATACTACAGACGTAAAGAAGGTTACAAATCCTACAGTGTTATGATCTCTTAGTTCCCATGGAGATTATCAAAACTGGTTTTCTTTTCACATTCCTTGTACTTATCCACGTCAAAGAACGTTACTATGATTTCAATTAAAAAGGTAATATTTATTTACTCAAAAACACCCTCCCAGTAGTTCCTGTCCGTACACGCATGATTTCGCTACATATTCTAAGTGTTGGTGGAATGTATTGTTTGTTTGAAGTTAAGCACAAAGCTAAACAATGGATTATCTGTACTCTGCCTACCACGGGTATCGAAACCCGGTTTCTAGCGTTGCAAGTCCGCAGACATACCGCTGTGCCACTGGGGGGCGGCGGTGGAATGTATAAGTGAAATATTATGCAAATCCTTAGCTGTGATTATAGGTCTAGAATTGAATATGTGTTCCCTTTAAAGTTATCCAGAACCAGCATTTTATTGGTATTAATATAATATCATAAGATTCACACGATTCTCTCTCCTTTAGTCACAGTATGATACTTTTTATTAACGCAGAAACATTTAGTTACAGTTATGGTGTATTTTTTATTAACGCAGAAACAATTAGTTACAATTACGATGGGTTTTTTCTATTAACGCAGAAACATTTAGTCACAGTTATGATGTTTTTTTTTTATTAACGCAGAAAATTTAGTTACAGTTATGGTGTATTTTTTATTAACGCAGAAACAATTAGTTACAATTACGATGGGTTTTTCTATTAACGCAGAAACATTTAGTCACAGTTATGAAGGTTTTTTTATTAACGCAGAAAATTTAGTTACAGTTATGGTGTATTTTTTATTAACGCAGAAACAATTAGTTACAATTATGATGTTTTTTTTTATTAACGCAGAAACATTTAATTACAGTTATGTTGTTGTCACTGATGTAGAAAAATTTAGTTATAGTTATAATGTTTTTTCTTTAACGTAGAAACATTAGTTATAGTTATAATGTTTTTTCTTTAACGTAGAAACATTAGTTATATTTATAATGTTTTTTCTTTCACGTAGAAACATTAGTTATATTTATAATGTTTTTTACTGATGCAGAAATATTGTACTATTGTTGTTGTTTTCTTAGAGATTCTAATTCAGAGTTATATTTGTATCACGTGACTTTTACTGCTATATGCTGTTTTTTAACTGGGTTATTGTCAGTCTCATCACATATTAAGTGATTTAACATTATAGGATTAACATAGTAAGTGTTTTAGCATTGTAAGATTAACATTGTAAGTGTTTTAGCATTATAGGATTAACATATTAAGTGTTTTAACATTATAGGATTAAGCTCAAATAAAACAATAATTAATTACCTCAAGTCGAACTTGTTATAACTAACTGTTTACTCTGAATAAAGCATCTCACATAAATCTTCCATGGATAAAAAATCTCACATAAATCTTCCATGAATAAAAAATCTCACATAATCTTCCATGAATAAAGCATCTCACATAAATCTTCCATGAATAAAGCATCTCACATAAATCTTCCATGAATAAATAAAGCATCTCACATAAATCTTCCATGGATAAAGCAACTCACATAAATCTTCCATGGATAAAGCATCTCACATAAATCTTCCATGAATAAAGCATCTCACATAAATCTTCCATGAATAAAGCAT